GCGCGATCGTGAACAAACGCATTGGCACAGCGTAGGTGGTATCGAGGGAAGCGTGCGACAAATGTTACATTGTTACGACAAGTTACGTAGAATTGGTCCGGCATTCAACGTGTTAAACGACTTATTAATTTATTTGTTATTCATGAATAACGAATAATTCCAGATTATTCTTAATTCAAGACGATGTAACATTGTAACGATGGACACACTGCATAGTTGCGGTTATATACTATTAACTATCGGGTATAGAGTAAATAAGTTAGCGTTGCAGACAACAACTGCAACATTGTGTTTATATTTACACAAAGTTCCGGAATCTCCAGAATTTCAGCGTAAAGAGTTGGATATTTTACCGCAACAATGGAAAATAGTTTCGAAGGATAATAGATTAGTAAAGAAAAGATAAAGAAGTCAGTTATAAAGATGTACATAACGTGTATTTACCTCGGTTAATTGACCGTTACCCAGCGTTTCATAAATAGGAAGAAGTGGTGCTTTGGGAAACAGCTCTGTACTGCTTGGTGTTCGATCACCATGCCTGAATATCTGAAAATTTTTTTACAGAAAATCATTCCATCGAATACTATGTTTATTTGCACACACATTTATAGGGAGGTCACCGTAACGGTCGCGACGATTTTTTCGGCATTTTCGATAGTCTGACAAAGAAAAGTTATAAAGAAAAATGAGACCGCACTCAATCCAATGTGGATATTCATCGTCCACAATGCAATAATTGTAAGCGCTCGATGTCAAGGGCGCCAATGACAGGGGCACCTCGGACACAAAAGGAGAATTTTTGAATTTTCACTAAGTTTTTCTTTCGAGAAGCCGAGATATATTGTTTATAAGCATCATGAGTCACAGCACTGGTGTTTCGTGTTTTTTCGTGCGAATCGCAAGTTACAGTACAGTTACAAAGAACCAGTTAATGCTAAACATTATAACAATAATAATTCTAGGGCGCCGTCTAAATTCTTGCATAAGGGCACCAAGCACTCTACCGCCAGCCCTGCACTGTTGTTAATACGTTTAGACTCAGTTGTCTAATCTGAAATTTCATTTTTTTATGAAACACTCGTTAACACTATTGCGTAACTTCGGGATCGGATAGTACGTGCATGCAGAACTGTGGATTCACGAAGTTTACAGTAATGTCTCTACAAGTGTCAGCCAGTTTGGATTCTACAAGTGTCAGTATAGATGGTCCTACGCCTATGTTATCTCGCTCGCTGTCAGTCAAGCGTGTAACGCTACACCACTCGGTTTCTTTTACGAGATTTCACGGCTCGACAATTCATAATAGAAAAATATAATTTCTTTAATTTTACTTTTTTTCATCTGAAATTTTTTTTAACATGTTGGTGAGATTTTTCTGATGAAAATGATATCAAACACGATATAATTTGAACAACATTTACTTATTAATACTTATTGAGTAATTAATTTAATGTCGGCTTACCTCCACGTAAAAAAAAAATGTAGGGCCGATTCTACAAGTGTCGGTCAAATGTAGGGCCGATTCTACAAGTGTCAGTCAAATGTAGGGCCAATTCTACAAGTGTCATTCAAACGGCAGGCCAATTCTCCAACTGGCAGTCCAACGGTAGGCCGACTCTATGTAATGTAATACAGGGCGTCTGTTTTATCTCAATACAGTGAAATATCTGGCGTGACAGTGAACGTGTTAATAAGTAAATGTTGTTCAAATTATGTCGTGTTTGATGTCATTTTTCGGGATAAAAAAACGTAAAATTAAAAGAGTTGGTATTTAAATCGCTTAGTTGCCTGGACTGAGTCCCTGATTCTACAAGTGCCAGGTTTAGGTTCCTTGCGGACTGACACTTGTGGAGACATTACTGTATTTGCTTCTACGTATCGAAATTTGAGGAAGACAGTAGAATGTCGTTTTTCAATGATAATACGATTTCATACCATGGACAAGAGATCGAATTACATACTATTACCACTAACAAGGAGACCCTATAGCTCGTCCCCTAGGGATTTTAATCCTTTCGCTGCGGCAGATTTTAGTACGTAACACCCGTTGCAGACGATAGACGTTCAATCTTTCGTTTCGGCTTCTTGAAATTTTTGAAAAATTTTCAAACGAAAATTTATAACTGATCGCTTTTAAATTTCTCTTGTTGGAATAAGGTGGCAGTGTGCCTAAATGCCTGTAGATGCTAAGATCAGAGTGCCGATAGGTACCAACAGCAACGAAGGGGTTAATGAAATTTGTAAAGTGAATCTAGATGTCGAAAGATGACATTCTGTGAAATATTCCATTACGATACGCATTCTTTGTAAAATATTAAAATCAGTTTTACAAAAGTCTGAATGTTTAAATGGGTCAGCGCACAGGGAGAACGCATTGTCAATATTGTTTATAATTACTGGATACATAAAATTATATGGTGCCATTTGAAAAAGTTAAGGTGATCTAGATTTTTCATCGAAGCAAATGCACTATGGCAATTTTTATTATTTCAACATTATTGCTGTCTTATTTATCTTTGCAATTTGTTTCATCACATTGTCGGAAGTGCTTGAACAAATCGTGGCGACTGTTACGGCGTACATCCTGTATATGTCATTTCGAGAGCTCCACTTTCAAAGCATACGATTCGGCATTTATTACATGCATGTGTACGCATGATAACTTGATAACAATAAGATTATCTTATTTATCGTCGTTGAATTTCTATTGATTTAGTAGTAAAAGAAGATTTGATACCTGACAAGAAAGAGTAAAGCGATATTTTCACCTTATCATCTTTCATTAGGTACGTATGTTCAATTAAACATAATCTACTTTATCCGATATTGAAGTATTTTATCAATATTTACATTTCTAAAAATAACTTACGAATTATACAATATTCGTGTTAATTTTTAGGAAATTTTACGTTCACCGAGAAAAGCCAAAAATATCACACTTATATTCTTTTACGTAGAGCCATTCGCATTTGAACAGGGGTGAAATTATCCTCCACCTACCCTTCTCTAATTTAAATGTTGTGTAAGAAAGACCTAAGTAAAATTTTTTGAATGAATATTTCGTTGAAATGAAGTTAGACAGGATGATTCACCTAACTTGACGACCTGAAATTGCTCGTAAACTATTCACTGTCCGGAATAGTGTGAAGGAACAATTACATAATTTCATGGGGGACATTTACGGGTAGAGAAATATGCCTTTGCGTGTTTTTGTGTAAATTCGATTCCAATAGAATAGAACTTCTATGGTAAATATCTCAATAAATACTCATTTTAAATATATTACACGTTAACCCTTTGCGATCGGTGTCGCCGCTATGGCTATGGCGGCATGATCTTTGCTTTGTGTGCACATCTGCTATTTTATGATCGAAAGGTATCGTATATATTAATTACTCTTTACAATCCCTCAAAATAGAAGATATTTGCCAGCTGGAATTAAAAAACCTAAATTTGTGGAAAAGTCTACTGTGGCATATGAGAAAAGGAATACTTTAGTCCTCGCATGGAAAAGTATCATACTTTGGAAAATCACAAAAATTAAAACGTTTCATTTTTATGCACTATAATTAATATTAAACAAAATACATCAGTTTCAAAATATTCTATGTTCTTCAATATCCTTATATATATATAATAAATCAACTATGCAAAAATAACTTTAAAAATCTAAATTTGCTCCGACTAACTGGTAGTCCCACCGGAGAAATGTGCCGATCGCAAAGGGTTAGTATTTATTTACTCAATGCTCTCTTAATTTTCGGAAAGATGTATACGGTATTTCATTTAAAAATGTCACGGTGACCTTCGAAACTTTCTGCATAAAAAAATGTGGAAAAAAAACACTTATTGCAAAATATGTGCCCCTTGAAATCGTGCAACTTTTCCTTTACGTACTATTCCCTACAACGAATAGCTGACAAGCAATTTTAGGTCGTCAAGTTAGGTGAATCACCCTGTATACAATAAGGGGAGCGCGCGATTCATTTGCCGTAGAATGCCAGGCGTTCTCGATTTAATGGAGCATTGGCTGCGTTCATTTTCTAATAAAACGCCTATAAAATGCAAATTGCACTGTGTAGAGAACTTAAGGACCAAAATTGAGGAAAAAAATTATTTCGGATACGCAATTTCCTCTGGTGAAAACGAAAGAAAACTCGTGTTTGTGTAATTAACAGTGTCAGAGATAGAAATTCATTCAGATGGACAAGACTCGCTCAGCGAAAATTTACACCGTTTGCTAACGACACTTTCTTAATTATCGAACTACGAACAAAGCGCTGTAGAACATCTTTTGTCTCTGCGTCACCTTCAAAACAGGCTAATTTATATACGAAGAGTAGAGATTGAATGCACGTGACACATGAACCTTCGTTTTCGGGAAATGTAATAGAGGAAGCAACTTGAACTTTTAATTCAGGATTTGGTAAAACGGGTTGTGATGTGCAATCAGTCAAAAAAGTTTCCGTACACCTCGTTAGAATTTCTATAGCGTTGTATAATTTCTGTATGTATACCTATAAAGTGTTTACATATGTACTTGCTTCTGTGTAAAATGACATCTACTCACAGTGATTTCTTTAACTTCGTTAAAAAGGAGGATTGAACAATATTGTCTTTCTGATTTTGTATTCTATATATGAAGTTATCTACAAACAAATTGTATTCATTTTATTTCATTTTGTCTTAAGTGTTGTATATAATCCGCGTTCTATCATGTGAACACCTTTGTCCTCCCACATAGTTCATATAACGGAGGTTCTCCTGCAAATAAATCATATTTACGTTATTTTACATACAAACATAATATATACTATTAGTGCAAAGAAGAATGATTTACATTCATTTCTTAACAATTGAACTGAAGAAAAAGAATAATGTAACAGAAATGAAACGAACAAAATTTCCGTACACTATCTAAGAATTCAGCAAAATGTCTACAAACAAAGCTCCAAAGGCAAGTACAAGTTAGTTTGGTGTTTACAGACAAGTAGAAAACACGTTACCCAAAATATTTTTTCCCTAATGGAAATTTTCTGTTTACGTTTATTTGTTTAATTATTAACAAATGAATGTAGATTATTTTTCTTTGCACTAATGGTAAATGTTATGTTTCTAAATAAAATAACGCAAGTATTATTTATTTACTACTTTCTCTGTTAAAATTATACAACGTAAGATGAGTCCTAATGAGGTGTAGGGGATAACTTGGGCTAATGTTGGTAAAAATGGAATTTCAAAAAGAGTAATTTGTAGTACAAAGGGTGCCTAATAAAAGGGGACAAATGGTTTTTCTTAAATTTTCTCATAAAGATAAATAATTCGTGGAAATAAAAGAGTTGTAATTTGCAGCGAACGAAAAATTGTCGTACAGTACCGGCCAGCTACTTAGTTGGTAGATTTTAAGGTCTAAGTAATAAATAATGTTAGAACTTTTATTTAGGCACGTCTACAAATATCACAGGTAAAATGATCGATATTTTCTTGATCCGTGCACTCCACGTGAGCCCAACCATTGCAGCTACGAAAAATAACTTTTGTCGCACGGAACACCAGCGTAAACGTTGAACGCCTTAGAGCTCTGGTAATACTGAAGAAAAAAGAATCTCAGAGCTATAGTATTCATTTGTTTTTCCGTCAATAGTGCAGTCGAGTAACAGTATAAGCGAGATCTAGCTTTGGCCGGTACTGCACGACTCTCCCCTATACAGAGTGTCCAAAAAGGTCGATACCAAACTGATATTACGTGTCAACGAGGTCGAGTATGTGTAAAAAAAAGATTGTGAAAATTTTAACTAAAAGTTATACGCGTTCAAAGATCTTTATCAATTGTTACGGCAGTTATAATAAAAGTTCGAAATTTCTTCCTTCTGCAAGAATGCAGGCTTCCTTCTATTCGTCGAACTAATGATTGTCAAACTCTTTCGAATATTTCTACTGTATTAGAAATAGTAGTAAATCTTTGAACGCTTGTAACTTTTCAATAAAGCATTTTCAGACATAAGTTTACACGAATTTTTCTCATTTACTTGGCCTCGTTTGCACGTAGTATAAGCTTGGCCCCGACCATTTTGAGCACCCTGTATACTACGCATGTTCGTAGATGCGGATAGTCAACTAAAGTGCTGTATCTGCATTGAACAAGAATTTGACATTTCCTCATTTTCCAGGAATTTTCGAAAATTGCGAGAAATACGTAGTTGTAAGTTTCATTACGTACTTATTACGCTAGAAAGACAGCGCCTTTTATTTTTTTAAATGGTTTGGTAGATAAATGTTTGGCTTTCATTCTTCAGCTAGACAGAAGATAGTAAATAATTAAATCTCCTGTAGCTTCAAATTTTTTTCATTAATTCTTCAAAATCTTATCTATTTACATTAAAGTATTGATCTAATTTGATGCTTCATTAATGCTTGATTAATCAGATGCTTCATGAATGATTTATCGATAATAAACAGTTGGATCGATCGTATAGGTCCTTTAAATGTTCCTTTTGAATTGTACTAGTTGTGCAAAATTCAGGGAAGTGTTTCAAGCGAATGTTGTTAGAATCAAAAAATGTTCGTAAAAATAAACGTACATTTATACGTCGTCCTATTTGAAAAGATAATAGAAGCCCTTTTTTGCTTGGAGATAATAATTATGAACAACATAACTATCTGTTACTATGGGACCAATTTCAGTTACCTTTCTGTCCTTTCCAATATCTCAGTTCAAAGGATGCTACGAGCTAACTATAGCACATTTTTTATAAGCCGTTTCTTTTTCGGAACAATAGAGCTTGAGCTTTTCCGCTACGAAACAATTTGTCCTAAGAGAGTCTCTGAAAATTGCCTTTGCCGTACCCCCTTGCGTTTTATGACTTTCGAAATAATATTTAGACGAGGTCAAACGGTTATCGTACAGTATGTATTAGATGTGCAAATTAATTCACAACTTCAGTGTTTATTTAAAAAAAAAAGCAAAATAATGTCCAAAATGATCTCCGTTATTTTTAACGACCGCTTTTCTCTGTATTGGGTAACTGACGAATTTCCTCTCCGAAACAATATGGCGACTTTGAGTCGATAAAGTTGGGAAGACTTCGCGAAGAAAGGCACCGAATTAATTTGTGCATCTAATGTAAATTAAAACCTCATAACGAAAGATACTTAATTATTCCACCTTGTGTACAATTTTACACTGTTTGTAAAATCTACTTAAAAATAATGTTATCGTATATAAAATCTTCCACTGTTCATGGAAAATGCATTTAACCAGCTATTTTTCTAAGAAGTGACGTTACGTGAGAAATTTGTTTGAAGTCTGTGTAATAGGTACGTTCCGCTTTTATCATTTGTACGATTACAGCATTAAATTTTAAATGTAATGGATTGTATGTTATCTGTTTTTCGTTGGAATTTTGCCAAGTTTTATTTTCTAACAAATATTTTGTCCAATAAAATGTCCTTTTTTCAACTGCTGAAATTCGCGGGTTGATGCTACATATTAAATTTTGTCCGATCGTAAATTTTTACACACCATTGTCAAGAAGAAGGAATCTGCCGTAGTACACGTGTATTGAATAGAAAAAAAAAAAATCACAATACACTTATTTGGTCATTATTATCTAACTTAAAAAAGTTTAAACTTAAAAAAGCTGCGGTAAAAACTGTTTGTAATACTATGTAAAATGTAAAAATACAAGAAAATATAATAATAAAATAAAAATATTAACAAAATATGATACTATGTTATAATACTTCATAGTTATAAGTACATGATATTGTATCAGTAAATCACGGATATGATCGATATTGAATTGCAATTATATTTTTGTAAGCCACTATTAATTACATTTGTTCAAGCATTATCTATTAATTACTACGTATATTTTGAAGTTGTTTTAAAATAATCCCTCGATTATAAAATACGAATTTAAACACTTTCGTTAAAGTTTCAGGGATTACATGTATTTACCAGTAGAAAGAAATGATCTATTTCGTAAATGCATACACTGAACAGAACACATATACTGATTAATTAGTATAAAGTTTCAGGTAGTTATTTTACAAAATTGAAAATAATTGTTTAGCTTAAATTATTCAAAGTTATTATAATAGAATTGCAATTTGAAATGTGTGCATGAAAGTAACAAAGTAAGGATTTATTTCCAATTTCAAGAGATGAAAAAGGGAAGAGATCAAAAAAGGGTTTCAATTCAAAATGTTCCAATCAGTTTTAGTTTACATACACATGTCGTACTATGGGAAGTGTATTCGTCGAAGCAATTTTCAAACACACACCTTCTTTAAAATCACAATATGTTAAGAATAAATATACCATTGATAATTTATATTGATAATAAAAGTCCAACTTGACAACACTGGAAATTTGTATCCAAAATTGAAGAACCTTTGGAAACTATTTATGTTATTGCCAAATGTACATTTCCTATTAATAGTATTACACTTATTTTCGTGAAAAAAGAAGCATTCTTATTTCGAACGTATTAACTTATTCAGATACTCACAACTTGTACTAATTCGAGTTGAAAATCTGCTACTACCGACTGTAATAACAAGCACAGGCACAAAATTAGTTTAACGTATACTTCTTTGCGAATCATTTCTAACGACGTGCAGAATTTACTTCTGAAGCACGGTGTACAGCCGACAAAAATTTCAATTCACTTCTGTAAAAAGATAGAAGCACAGAATTACGCTGGCGTGCGCGAACGAAACTATCTGCTTATCACAAGCGGAATAACATTTATAACTTATTGTCGTAGACATTTTATTATTGGAACAAGTGGAAGGTGGTGAGGCGATAAATCGGAATCTGATAAACACAGAAATAACGTATACATTGAATTATGTGATTACGAATGTGACACGGACGAATCTTTAATTGTATCTTAAGAAAGAAACAGTACTCATACGATTTGGATAACTGACCTCAGAGAGCTACGTGAAATGATCGATCTCGTGCGTTTAAATCGCTGAAATTATAGGAGCATAAGTATATCACGTGCTTTGTATTACTTACCATATTCGATTCGTGAAATAAATCTCGTTTGTCATTAACCTGTTGTATGATAACACGCATGATAAATTGTCATAAATACTTTACTTATCGTCACCAATGAGACAGACAGATTGAGAAGGATTAGCTGCTGAAAAAGAAAAATACGAAACGACATTGTGTACTATAAATAATACGTATTCCAGTATAATCGGAGAACCCACTGCCTTTCCCCCACACATTCTTATTAGATACTATTACAATATTATTATTAACATTATTGTAATTAGATACTATTATATTATTATTAACATTATTGCAATTAGATACCATTATTATATTGTTATTAACATTATTGTAATTAGATACTATTATAATATTCTTATTAACCCTTTCGCGACGGCGGAACTAGGCACCAGTACGCCGCTAACGGACGGGTCGTCGTGCCATTGGTGCACACCATGAGAGTCTCGCGTTTTTCGAGCTCCCAGCGTAGAGGATTTCGTTGGAACAGCGGAGGATTTAAGGATGTATTGGATAAAGGGAATGTTGTTGAGCCCTTGTTCTGTATTTTAAAATAAATCTTCACTTCGAGTTGCTAAGGCGCGAGCCAATGCGACGCGCTTAGTGGATGTCGGATATAACCGGCGCCAGCCAGTGTGAAGCATTTAGTGGATGCCGGATATAACCGGCGCTAGTCGCGAAAGGGTTAACATTATTATTATTAGATACTATTATATTATTATTATCATAACCAAACAGCTTTATAATTATAAACCGAAACGCCAAGCAACCGCCACGGGTAGAAAGGGAGCAAAGTCGGGAGAAACCCATGAAGCGACGCTCGACTCCAGGCCCTTTTCCTGACCATTGATTGGTCGGAAGCAAGGTGCCAAAACTAGTATAAACCCGATGTACCTGCACAAGGTCGACAGGTAGTGTAAAGCCATACTAGAACGACACCCGTTCGAACTAAACATTTAATAAAACGACATCAAACACATTTCTGGAATTTTACGCCTTTAACCAACCCGAAACGAAGGCGGTCTCAACCGTTACGGCCCGTTCCGTAACATTAGTGTATAATACTTTGCTGAAGTAGGTTAGACCGAAGACTAAAGGGGTTAATAAACGTATTACTAAAATAAATTTAATATTTTCATTCCATCTGACGATATGAAGAAATTTCTCGTACTGCTTCGTTAATCTTGACAGATAAGAGGAACTGATCAACGATATTACAGAAAAAATGGTTTTGCAGGTTTTTATCTGGCTTACAATGATAAAATCATTAATTATTGTGATTAAGCTCGCGCGAGACTGTAAGAAGTTTAAAGTAATAATGATACGGGAGTATTATTCTTTTACCAATGCTAATTGAATTTATAAATAGTGTTGTTCATAATAATCAGTTATATCGATGGGTTAGTAATTACTAGAGGTGTGCGAGAACCCGATGCTCGAGACGGGTCGAGTCGGGTCGGGTTTCCGATAATTTCGGGGGTCCCGAAAGTGTCTGGATTCTCGAGAATGTCCAAATTCCCGAAAATTCCGTGAACCCCCGTTTGCCGTTTCGAAACTTGCGACCGCGGTTTCAATTTTTCCTAGACAATGTTTACGCAGTCGCTTTGTTTACATCTAATCGCACGAATCCTAGTATCCGTGATACTGGCTGTTGGATTGTTTCCAAGAACACCCTTTTTTTTTATTTTACGTGGGGAGATCCTCAATGGGGGAGGGGGACGGGGTAGTGCCGGACTCGTAGCGGCTAAAACCCCACGGTGGCCATCCTCGGCATTCTGGGGGTGGGCCCGGGATCTCCTAAGAACACAACCGGGCCTGTAACTTTTCGCCTGGCGAACGAAGAAAAATCAGGTTGCACAGGGTGTTCGGTCTTCACAGGCACGGTTTATGGCACGATCGAACGGCAACGGTTATTCTTGAGTTCAGGACTTTCGTTTACTGCTTGTCGGGCCCACTTCTAAGAACACCCTGTAGAAATAATCGAGTGAGGACAAAAATGTCTCGGCGTTCTTTTGGAGTCTAAAATTTAGGCAAAGACGCTAGGACTTCCACCAGATGTGGCTGGTGTTCGTCTTCGAGTCGAGCACTGCTGCAAACAGTTTGTAGGTATAAGCGGACCCCAGTTTTCTCTTTTTGAGTGTCCAAAGACAGTTCCATAGAGCATTTCAAATAGTAAAGATGCTTCCTCAGAGTCGTAGAATAAATTGAATATAAGCAGTTACAAAGTCCATTTTCAATACTGACACAGACGTCATAAATTGTAACAAAAAGTGCAGAAACATTGTCCTAATAATATGAATCCCGACACTTTTGAGAATCTCGACACTTTCGAGAATCCCGACACTATCGGAGATCGTAGAGAAAAATTTTCAAAAAATCTCTAATGCAGAGGACGAATCCTGCATTAGTAGTACATATTGAGTGAATCAGACGTGTAGTCTTTCAGACTATTTCAGCAATTTTATTTATTAAATCACTGTGTTGCAAACATGACGTTGCACTACCGACGGTAGGCTGCAAAATTGCTCTAAACTCTATGAAATTCAAATGTAATGAATCACAAAAGAAGTTGGAAAATGAAACATACAAAAGTTATTTATTCCTTCCGCGTTGAAACCAGGTATCGAGACATCATTAGTTAAATTTTCATATAATAAAACTTCACAGTACTTTAAGAGGTGAAACATATCATTGCACGGGGCGGTAAAATTACTAGGGCCGGCCTTGGTTGTAAACATAAATTTAGTACAACTATGCACTTCGTTTACAGCTTTTGCAACGAGAATGCCTGTACTGTTGTAAGGGAGTATCGAAGCAGATTCTCTAACAGAAGAATACCGCATCTCACAGTGTTTGCAAATTATCGCCTTATACCAACGTGTCAAACTCATAGCACAGATCCTGGTCAAGATGCGATAAAAATTATTAGTAACAAGAATTAATTTAAATTTAAACTTTCGTTTTAATTTATAAAACGGAGGATTGCCAAATTTTATTCTTTTCTTACTCAATTCAGTACTGACATAGTGCATAGCTGACGCTTAGATGCATAGTCAGCGAAAAAATCGTAAATTAAGGGGTTAATAAGGACGGGATCGTTTGAACCATTTCCCCAAGAAAATGAATTTTACGAAGTTATGCGGTGACGAAATCACTCATCAAGAATATTGAATTTTTTCAATAACAATTTTACAGCAAGTGTTTGCGAAGCTTCGTGTCAACCGGGAATATCTCCATCGATTATATGGCGAACTCTTTGTGCTGATAACAGGTTAGCCGTATCATTTGAAGCGAGTGCAACAGCTTATTCCAGCTGATTATGCAAAGCAAGTGGAATGTTGTCAGTGGTATGTGCATACAGAGGAAGAAGATAACTTGTTTCCATCGAAAATATTGCGAACTTATGAAGCGACGTTTATGAGAGGAGGAATTTTTAATATTGACAATAATCATGTATGGGCATGAGAAAATCCATACATAACTCGAGCAGTTGCCTTTCAACATCAATTCACATGCAACGTATGGACAGGCATGTACACTACCGGCCGAAAGTTTGGAATCACCTGCCAATTTATATTAATATTGAATCTACTACTAATTCTTTATTGATTTGAAATTGATGTTGTGGAGATCAATAGCACTTTATCTCATTTCGATTGATTTGAATAATAAAAAATTCGTTGGAAAATTATTATAAATGCTAACATTTTTGGGCAATTTTTGTGCAATTTGCAATGCACAGTGATTCCAAACATTTGGCCGGTACTGTATGTACATACAATGATATGTTACTGGAGCCGTATTTTTTGCCATATCGCTCGATTGCAGGAGCGTATCTAGGGTGGGGCAAGTAGGGCACGTGCCCTGGGCGCCAATGTCAGGTGCGTGTAAAAAAGCTGAAAAAAATAGTGTTTGGTGAATAAATTTATTTCAACCCTCTTACTGCCAGGCCCATCTACGCGATATATGCGAAGACTGCCAGGGCCGACTTGATATGCACGCTTTTATAAATTGCTTTATAAAGAAGAAAATGTCAATTTTCTGGACAGCTTTAGTATTTATTTTTTTCAAACTTAGAGGATATGGAATACAATTGTAGCGTAATAAAATATTTAACAATAAATAATGTAAACTTATATTTAGATTGTGTAAATGATGCGTGTAAAATTATTTTCTATAGTAATATATCATACATTAGTTACTGATATTGTTTTTGGAATTAAAAGCAACTTAACACTCAGAGGAGTGATAATCTGAATGTTAAGGGTTAATGTTAGTAATTTACGCTTGTTATTCGTGTGCTTCGCATGCCTCTTTAGCCGCAACATCTTCCAGTGTAGTGCAACAATAAAATGTTTCGAATAATGAAGTTGTTTTCTGTTTTTGTCCAGAGTCAAAATCGTGTTCGACAAAGAAGTAGGAAAGAAAAGGTGGAACTGGAATGTACATGCATGTGGGAGGGGCACAAATTTCGCGGTTGCCTTAGGCGTTGCTTACGCTAGACACGCCTCTGCTTGATATTTTCTAAGGAATGAATTACCATATCTTTTAGAAAACATTAGGATGCAACTAGCTGGCTGTCTGGCACATTACCGAGTATATACATACATGTTCGTGAGTGGTTAAACGATCATTTTTCTCACAGATGGATAGATCGGGAAGAACCAATACTTTCGCCTCCAAGACCGTCTCATCTCACGCCATTTTACTTTTATCTGTGGGGAGCTTTGAAGGGAAGAATGTATCGAACACGAATAAATTCGCGTGATGAATTGATATGAAAAATTAATCGTGCGTTTACAGAAATGATCTTTGCAGAGTAATAAATTCCACATTCGACCGTTGTTAATCTCGTATTGTCAAGAGTATTATACACGAAGTGCCCCTCTTGCCCCTGTGCCGCCCCGGGGGCAAACTCCTGAGCACCGCACAGTACTTCACTCCGATGAATTTCTCTCCCGGGTGCCGCACGGGCTCCACCATCAGCAAGTTAGTCACCACTACATACACACTTGTATATTGTCCGGCAAAGCAAATTTGAGGCTTCCGACGCTATCGCCTGGCCAAAGGAGTGGGAAATAGGCGGTCAGGCCCATCCCCACTACCAGCCACCATTGCACGCGGTCCTCGGAAAGGGGCGGAGCATGCCGTTACTTCCTTGCTCTGCTGGAGTTGGGCCCAATGTCCACGATGCGTCGGGTATGAGATGTGGGCGGCTCTTATTCACGAAGTGTACAGCAAGGTTTGCGTCGCAATAGCGTGACGATGACGCTTCGTGGACAGACATCCGCAGACATCGCAGCACTGAAGTGTACAGCAAGCGACGTTTCGACGCGTACGCATCTCTGACTAAATGCATTGGGCCTTAGGAGCCTATGGGAGGGGTCGGTTTGAGCTCCTCCCTTCGGTTGGATCGCAAGATACAGCGCGGGGGGTACCCAAATGTATTTGCAAGTGATACTTCAGGTCCTCCCAGCGTGTCTGACCGGAGTAGCCATGAGGTTTTAGTGGATAAGAATCCCACACTACCCCGCCTCTTCTTCAGGGTGTCTTTGCAAGATTTCCCCCGTGTAAAAGAAAAGAGGCCCATCCCCACTACTCTTCAGTTTTACACTGCTGTCGCTTGAGGGGAAGTTGCGGTGTAGGTGAGTGGTTTAAACCAACGGTTCTTAACCTTTTGTTTACCAGACCCCCTTTAAATAATTTTTCGTTGTCAGGGACCCCCAAAACTTTAGGGGGTACACCATCCTGATGCGTTTCAAAAAAGAAGAAAATTTTGGGGGATTTTTTTCATAGGTAATTACTGAATGAAAAGCTTCAATTTTTTCAAATGATATAAACGTAACTTTCAGCTTTTGGCGCACTAGTTCGACGTCCCTGCACTAGGAGGACCAGGACAAAGCGCATATTTCTTTTCCTCCCCTTCTTCCTCCTTGCATAACCAACTGCTACAGAATATTCTATGATTAGAAAGAAATACACATGGTAAGTAATGCATATTTTCATTAAACACTATAATAAGTGGTAAACAATATAAGAAATGTCTTCTAATTGCTTGTTTACAAAATAAATCACTACGTTTTTTTATGTTTTTGTAATTTTCAAAATTAACACTGGATAATGATGTTGAATAAATAACATATACAACTTTTACCATTGCTCTTTTAATCTTATATGTATAATAATTATAATTCCATAACCTCCGTAATTTTTAATCTTGTGCTTAGATTTCATGGATAAGAAATTGAAAAATTTGCTTAATTAAACATTTATTTTTCATATTTTAAAACATGTCTTAATTTTTATGCTTCGAATTTATCGCGTCACCAATATTTAATTGCTTGAATGCACAAAGAAGATGAACGTTTCGCTCATTTGTTTATTTGTTTATGAAAAATGTAACTCAATGAATAACCTTCTCGACAGAAATTTTCTACAGTATGAAAGATAGAATTTTTCTTAGATCATTGTAAATAGTTAAAAAGGCAGACATGGCAATGAAAAACAGGAATACGTCAAAATTTCAAGCTACGTTTTATCCACCTACGCTAATGCTACCTTTCACGGATGTCAATCTTCCGACGAAGTTGAGTACCTCTTCAGACATTAGTTATTTTCAAAATTACAGAAATGAAACGCTATCGAAATTCTCGGTGAGTTTGTTTTCTGTTTATTTGATCCAAATCTATGAAAATGGATTAACTTTTCTCCTTCACCTGATTTAATTGAAATAAAATTGTTATAGCTATGTATAGATCTTATATTATTCTACGGACTATTTTGTATATTTATCAGTTTGTAATTTTCCAAACTATTTTGAAATATTTGAAGTTCCATGTATTTTGCATCTTAAACAAAGTTAGAATATCTTGTGTGCTTTGTAGGGCTTTAGAAGCAGCCTAATTATTTCTCTTAACTGTTTTACAATTGCTTTTAAATTATGAAACTTCGTTTTTCGCAGAAGTTCAAAAATGTTAGTTGGAAAAATTAAGCCGAAGAGGGCAGTAATATTATTAGGTCATTCCATAAGCAATGTCGTTTTAAACATTTCCTTTTTCAAAGAAAAAAGTAATATTTATATTTATCATTAATATATTTACTATTAATGAAGAAGATTGAGAACAGTAAAGAGAACAGTTAAACAGAAAATCAGCGGGTGTTAATGTATATCTATATGATGAATAGATATAAAGCGTAATAGTATTGGATAATCTGCTTTCGTTTTAACTTGATTTTTACATACATACAGGGTGTCCCGTAAAGAGTGTAACACCCGGAAATGGGAGGTTGCTGGGGTGACTCTGAACAAATTTTTCCTTGACCAAAATGTTGTTTGAAGCTTCGTTTTCGAATTATTAACGAAAAACACTGGCCAATCAGAGCGCGCGTAGAGCCCCCGCTCAGGGACGGGCGAATAAAGATTCACGCGTACGCATGTCCACGATAGTGCGCGGGTGAATCTCTGTTCGGCCGTACCTGAGCGCGGGCTCTACGCGCGCTCTGATTGGCCAGTGTTTTTCGTTAATAATTCAAAAACGAAGCTTCAACCAACATTTTGGTAAAGGAAAAAGTTGTTCAGAGTCACCTCAGCAACCCCCCATTTCCGGGTGTTACACTCTTTACGGGACACCCTGTATAATGTTTGAATTAATAAATCAAATTTTTCTAATAGTACTTCAATTTAGATATTATAATACGTATTTCTTCTGTGTAAAGGAAGTTCAAATGTTGCAATGTTTATTATTGATACAATAATTCTGAACAGTTATAAGTACATTCTGTATTATTCGGATCTTTAATGAAGGAATCTTGTGTACATCTCAAATTTATAAAAATTAGGTTTTTTTTTTAAATGAAAATGTTTCAAGGGTTTGAGACGAAATTTCAATAGGACGTTACAGTTTCTTAGCTTTAAATCAGTGAATTACCTATCAACTGAATTAAAAATATGCATTTTGTAGCAACGTGTTTGTAATTCTTTGCAACTTGTTTAATAGATAATTATAACAACCTATGATTTTATAAATTTGGTATAATTTGTAAAATAAAAAAAACGTGAATTGTAAATGGTTTCATTATTATACTATTGTGTACATTTTTTAAAGATGCCGCCATACGAATGGGGTATGCAAAGTATACCGTACAGTCCAAGTCCTGAAATCGGCGCAAGTAAAGCGCGTCGCAAGATTAATTCTAATTTAACTATGTTATCGAATGATATCTCAACGATCGATTCTGCGCGTATGAAGGAAGTCGACGATTTATTTAAGGTAAAAAACAATTTAATTGTTTTACATTTTGTTTCAAAGTCATAAGAATTACTGGAAGACATAAACGGCTATAATTCGGAAACAAGGTCGTATCGGGTATATATTTATATGAACTTTTTTTCTTATTTTAGCGCACTGAATCCATCATATGTTTTGAAACACCCTGTATACGCGTTGCATGAAAACAGTAGTCGCGATATATTTCGCGCGTTATAGGAATTCGCGTTATACGGAAGTGTACTGTATCAGTATTAACGATCCTGGATTACAATACTCTTTTTCTTGATACATTATGGTACCCATTTCTCATAATTCGTGATCACACTGTCCAGAAACGGTCCAGGGTTGTGAAGAAAGATAGCGACGCATCAATTCTTATTCAGTCGGTTGTGCTCTTCTCGGGTAATTCTTGTAGAATTAAATTACATTATCACACAAACCCTGAAGGTTATCCGACGTACTTTAAGCACTTTACTCACAGCAACAGACGATGAAATTAAATTTAGTCTAAGAACATTTTTCGAGAATTGTCGTTAAAAAGCCTAAACAGACGTCCGAATTATGATTCATTTTCAAAGTCCAAATTTCCGTTTATAAGTATTAGGGCGGGTATTGAATATGAATTAAATTTTAACAGTCATTGCAAAATTATTAAGATAAGAAAAAAATTATTCAGTTCGAAATCTCGTAGTATAACAAGCATATAATATTTTTACTGATATAACGTTACCTTAATACTACCATTACAGTCCGTTCAATTTAAGAGTAACCTCGCTTCACGCTGGGACGTGCCTAAGGCAGAGCTAGAATGTCCAAACCCCCACTTAACCGCCTACGTTTTTCTCCGTCTTACCCTCTGCTACGCTCACCGTCTACTATTCCAGGCGTGACGCTTTCATATACACGGTGATATAATTTATTCTCTATTTACTCTTTTTCTCTTTCCTTTTTCTTTTGTACAGCTAGAACGTCCAAACCCCCACTTAACCGCCTACGTTTTTCTCCGTCTTACCCTCTGCTGCGCTCACCGTCTACTATTCCAGGCGTGAACGCTTTCATATACACGGTGATATAATTTATTCTCTATTTACTCTTTTTCTCTTTCCTTTTTCTTTTGTACCTAATGAAATTAGGTACTTTATAATATGTCTTTTAAGAATTTAAATGATTTTGAATCGTTCTCTAAATATTGATATTTTTATTTTGTCCGGCTAAATTCATACAACTAGCCACTATTCGTCTGTCATAAACCGCTACGTTCACATGCGCACAGTATGTGCGCATACTTTTAGACCACCGGGTAGATTCTCTCCACTCTATGCACTGTTCACATTGTCGTCGTTCTTGGGCCTAGCCGAAATGGCGCTGCGACCAATCGCATGCGTCACATCGGTAGGTAGTAGTGGGAACTGCGCAGAACGGACGAAAATCGGTCCGAGAGCGAGGTTACTCTTAAATTGAACGGACTTTAGATAAATCATACTCCACGGCTTCGTTCATAAATCCTAAAAAAAGGCAATAATTAAATTTTGCTTTTCTCCCTTGGTGTTTGAAAAATAATATTTTATGTTGCAGAGCGTTCAAATTTATCGTAATCAATATAAGGATCGTACTGGCAGTTCTCATCCCTTAGCATTTTATAAACCTGATAATTACGACTATCAGTGCGCGCCAGGAATGACAACGTCGTATTTCTCCAAATATCCGCAAGATTATATCGAATACAAAATACCCACAGTTTTACCTCTTACATACGGAAGACGCAAACAAATACCTTATATTCCAGATTTGTCTCTGGTTGGCATTTACAACGAAGCAAGTTGTAGCGCTTATAAACGATAACTTACGATTTCTGTTCATGTACAATGCATAAATTAGTATACTGCTCGGAAAATAACGCGAAAGTAAATGTTACACTCTTAAAATTGAAACAATTAATTATTCATGATAAATCGTTTAAGAGGTTGAACGATTATGAAATCATTTCGATCGAAGAAGAAATATTTGTATTGTTTGCGTGAATACATACAAGTTAAATTTTGAATATGTACATGTGAAACCAAGTGATGAAGCCAATTTAACGATGTACCGATCAAAATTATTGTGGTATCAAATGGTTACCGACGTAAATTGTCATTGGTATTAATAAATTACATTTGGTCATTATTTACTGGTATACCGGCGTTAGTGTGGGCATGCTTGAGTGGTGAGCAGTGTGATTTCAGTAATGTTCAACAGACCGACGATGGTGGATAAATTGTAATTTTTACTTACTACTTGAAGAAGAAGTTGGATCCGTAATTGTTCAGTCCCATATGGGTCCTTGGTTTTGCAGTCGTTAAATCGGAGTTGGAGGTGAATAATAAAGAATGGAAGTAGGTTTTATTCGAAAGAGAATTCGGACTTTGTTCAAATTAATATGTAATATATTGTCAAAAGAAATAATACAATAAAGAATAACGTGTAACAAAATCAATTTAATTTAACAATACGGATTAAAATATAATGGAAAACTTACAAACTATTTTGATCATAGTCGTTGGGTATTCTGATTATAGGTAAATATTAGAAAATATAGTACATACAGAATTCAGGATTTAGCAGTGGTAATTCAGAGAAAAAATGAACAAAAAAGTTGAAGTAATCTCAACAAAAGTGTATGTTATTGTATATACAGGGTGTTCCGTTTAACTGGAAACGAAATGACCGTATGGCACATCGTTGAGGTCGTCTCGACAAACGTTGTCATATTATGAATAAAAAAATATAGGGTCACATTTAAAAAAATTAACTTCACTTTGATATCTCCCCTACTACTACATCTACAGAAAAATTATTCAAACCATCTGATGTCCCCTTATGTACCGAATATCTTTTGTAAGAACATTTTTTTTATAACTTCAATGTCTCGTGAGATATTCCACCGTTTTTAGTTAACAAACGGAACACCCTGTATATTACAATATTAATACACAAGGTGTTCGGCTGCTCCTGGAAAAAAATTCAGGGGGTGATTCTAGAGGCTAATATAAGACGAAAATGAAGAATAGAGAAATTGTGTTTGAGGCTTCGGTTTTCAGTTATTAACGTTTAAAAATATCCCTGTAGCGCTGCAAACCTTCCTACACTAACGAATATACGGCATAATTAGATATGGAACGAAATGATAACCATGTTTGAGAGGATATTAAAGAAAGTTCTATTTTGTATTCTATATTTAGAGTTACCTAAAAAATCATAAAACATTTATTTTTATCACAAAAATATAAGTTATTAAAATCGTAATAATAATTTTCATTTTCATTATATAATCAATTTATGGATTATCCTCGTACGAACGTGGGGAAAAATTTTTCTTGCCAGATAATTTGGCATAAAATCTTTCCAGTCAATTCTTTCGACAAATCGAACAGAGTGAAATTTTTCTTTGAGATATTAGAAACCTTATGTAGGAAATATTTTCGAATAACAAAATTTATTATCTGATCAAGAAATTTGAATTATTAATTACGCATACGTGTATCTTAGACATATATTTCAACAGAACTATGCTTTTTATATATTATACAAGTATATTTTTATACATTATTACACCAAAATAAAATTTTTGAATTTTAAAACGAAATATAATTAGGTGTATCATATATACTCGTGTGTTCATTTATTGTACATTACAAAGCATGTCTACATATGTATGTAAGTATGTATATAATTCAATTCAAATAGAATTAATTTGCGAAAATACTACCTTTCATTCTTTGTCAATTATGCAGTAATATGCGTACATATGAAAGTAAGCTACAAAGGAATATGTTTACTTTAATATGTACATCGAAATCACAGAAATAATTACGGTACTATTATATATGTAAGCGTAATTAAATTCTGAATTTAAATGCTGACGAAAATACTGAAACTCTTGAACAGAAACGTACAAATTCTTCGGGCGAAATGCTTGCCTGTTGATTAAAAACCATCTCTTGAAGTACCTAGTAAAGTTGAAAAACAAACATACATATATTAATATGTTTAGCGTAATATACAGGGTGAACCGATGCGTACAGTGTGTCCGTTTTACCTAGAAATATGTAAATATCTCGGAAACCATAAGCGATACGGAAAAATGTTACCAACAAATGTATGTTGCACCGTATGATGCACCGTGTATATACAGGGTGTCCAATAAGGTTGGAGATCTAAGTCGTTGAATCTGTTGTCTCTTGACTTACATTTATGCACGCGAAACAGTTGGTTTATGAAAATATGATAGAAACAGAAGATCAGCTTTGGGACTGTATTTAAAATAGATTTACTGCTATTTATAATACAATAGGAATATTCGAAAGTGTTCGAGGAAGGAAGAAATTTCGAATATAAATTTTATTCATTACAAACAAGTATAACAATAATTGAGACCAAAATTTCGAGTGCCATTTAACTCTGTTCTTTTTTTTTTGGATCAACTCGAAAGAAAATATGTGTGGAGAGACATGTAATAAGCAGTGGTTGCACCTCAATCGCAAAAGTTTCTCTTGAAATACAGTCCGTGCACATGCAAACTGTTTTTGCAAAATGGTGCCGACTAAACAACAATAGCCGTTGTATGTAGTAGAATATCCGAAAACAACGTCTATTATCGCACTTTAAAGCAATTTTTCTTTCTCTTTCACGAAGAGTGCACACATTTAAAAACTTGGTGAGATTATTTTTACTTTTGTGACAGAAAGTATCCTTGTACCACATCGTGGGGTTAAGAAGAAATTTTTAGAAAGGACACGATCTTGTACGAAAACAAATGTTGAAATAATTTCAATTTTTAAAATTATTATTCGACTGAGTTGCATTAACGATCTGGATGGACTGAACACGGCAAACTTGAATTCCAACTGGCGTATTAAATTGAAGATAGGATTTTCAAATGGAAAAACCGGAAAAATACCGAACGTGTTCAAGTTATATCTCCTTCAGTACGAAGTGCCTATCCAAATACAGGCATCACGCATTTCTATCTGCATGAGAGAGTTAAAGATACGAACCAGCTGCCCCGTTAGAACTCGTCGAAACTCTCGATGGTCGAATTTCGAAGATTTTCTCTACTGTTCAAGTGTCGCGTCCAGATTTGTGTCCAAATCACTACTTTGCTCACTCCGTTTAGAAATGACCAGACAACGTTCGAGAGCTGCATCTGTATTTCCTCTATACACAGATGTATTTCACCCCAGTGTCCTTTTCCTTGTTGGATACGAACAGTACATGTGGCGGTTCGTTAGGGGCGCAACAGAGTCGAAATGTATTTTCCTTACTTCAACGCACCCTTCTGAAATCGCGCAACTCGATACGGTAAGTGCTCACGTACGCGTGGGACTCGGAAAATGGTGGTCGATTTCCTATTGATCGGTGCTTGAAAATGGCCTCCAACCGTTTAATATCCGTGAGCTTTGGAACAGTGGTACAACTGCGTATGGGATGATTCATACCAAAAATAAAGAATAAAATTCTTCCGTTCGAAACCACGTTTTCGGGAAAATCAGTAGAGTACTTACACGTGGACTTAACTATCTCTGGGCCTCATGTTTGTACCGATAAGCAGTGTCAATGCCACGACAAGTACTAATAATAAGTTTATTAACGATTTTATTGCTTTACGTGTACATTACTGAATGAACTACTGAAAGTGACGTTCACGACTGATGTCACAGTGTTTTGTCGAAAACCTGTATGATACTTCCTTTGAACTGCAGAAGATTTTTGTTTAAAACTGGAAAGGTTTCTGATGTAGAAAGTAGAAATTTTGAAAACCTTGATAAAATTAAGAAAGTTTCGGGAGTATCAAACTTTTCAAAGTGGTGAAAACGTTTTCAATTCGCCAATTTAACAATGTTTGGAACTAGCAACGTTTTCTAAAGCAGAAATCGAATTAGAATTAAAAATACCTGTAAAATACCGCAATTTTTCTAGTATTACGTTATAACCCAAAAGAGAACTGAATACTATCGGTATGATGTCATCGGTACAATTTTTTAGTGTACAGGGTGTAAAGAAATTAATGGTCACGGCTTCAACGGGTGAATTCCTTGGATCGGTGGACATTTGTAAAAAAAAGTTTCCGCAAAATTGTTTATAACATTGAAAATTAATGTAAAATTTTTTTTTCTTACATCAACGTATTCTGCTCGACGAGAAGAGAAAATGTCTGAAAGGAGCCGTATGCCGCAAACAAATAGTTTCCGAGATAAACGTTGATAAAGTTTGGCAACGATTTGATTGTGTAGAGCAATGTTATAAACAATTTTGCGCAAACTTGTTTTTTACAAATGTCCACCGATCCAAGGGTGTAGATTCACCCCCTGAAGCCGTGACCATTAATCTTTTTACACCCTGTACATACAACGAAAGTAAGTTTTGAACGGCATTAAATGACCTTGAACCACCTTGAAAGACCAAAGTGTTATAGGTTAATGAATTCTTCTCGGAATGGGCTACAGGCTAAATAAGAACATTCAATTCCGTTTTAAAAAACGAAGGTCACCTTGAAATCTCAAAAGCACGTCCATCTAGAGAAGATTTATGACCACCGTAATATCCCCCCCACAAAACAGGGTAAGTTTTATTTGAAACATTTTTCGAAACGAGCTACAGTTTGGGAAATAATTGAGTGCGAAACTTCAAATAGGACACCCTGTATACATACGCATATATTGTACAGTCAAGGACAGAAATATGTAGACACCATTCAAAATAGAGTAAACCTTTTTAAAATTGGGCCAAACGACTTGAGTCTTTTTGAGAAGTTGGAAGGATTAGTTTACTAAATGACGTGTACAAAAAATTTTGAAAAAATTCCAATTTGTGGGAATCGCGAAGAAAATTGTAAAGGTCATCGTTTGCAACTCTTTTATCTGGGCTTGTAATGAAAATTTGAAGCATATGTTTTGTGGACTTATGTCAATTATATGGATGCTGTAAATTTCATCGAAATCGGTTAATATTGCCATAAGCTACAAACGGTTCATAGCACAATCATAAGCACAAATCTGAAGATTCTTACATCTTTCGATGCCTGTCGCTTGTTTCTCCATCCACCGATTTCGATCTAATTAAAAAAAAAGTTATTCTGCTTCGAAGGGTGTCCACATATTTGTGCCCACATAAGGAGCGCAGGTTTAACTCTAAATGTACTTATAGCTCTTTTTTTCTTTTCATTGATTTTAACACAACGATAAATTTTTATTTATTTCTAAAAATTTCTTTTGTTACAGTCTCTGTAACTTCATACTATCGGTACTTAATAAATGGAATATTTGAAAGTATACGTATTATTGTGTAATTTAAAAAAATAGGTGTTACGAGAATACAAAAATTTTGAACGATCGGTTACAGTAATAACACGAAGTGATATCTAATATATAGATCGAGCGATCAATTATAAAAAACGTTTCTTATAGCGTATCCTTTAATCCGAAATCCGAACTTGTGGTAGGAAATATGTATTATCGAGACTTACCATTCGCGCGACGTGTTCCGCCTCAGTCATATCAATGCTTTTATGTTCGTCCTGATCGTTCCATGTCAGTCTGCGCACAGCTTCCATCAAATCGGCCAGTGAGATTTGATTGTCGCCGTCGAAGTCTGGAAATGAAGGTATTAACGGTGTCATTGTTCCTACAGGGTTATCCGACCCTATTCTGCGTATCACCCGAGCAGTTGCACATCCCTAGCTTATGCTCCTCTCAACGAGGTACTCATGAGGCGAAAGGACGTTGAATTTATCTAAATTGAGTTATCGTTATGCTGCTCTATGCAGATTAGCAAGACAGAATTCTCTTTCTACCTGTTTTACCCTACTTTATGTTCTTTTAAGTTGGTTTTACATTGCTATAATAGTAATTGTACAGTAAATTACACGTCTGTCCGGTTCGCCTCGAATCGCTCAGGTATCTCGAGAAATGCTTCAGACAAAAATGCACGATATCAAGGGGAACATACTGTGTATTTCACCTTGTGATGACCTTGAAACGTCCTGCAAAGGTCATATTCAATTTTTCAAATGGGTACCTGCATTTTCTATTATTTCAAATTCTTTGAAATAACTTTGAAAATCGACACGCCGCTAGCGTTACACGATGTATTAGGTCATTCGATACAGGGTGTCCCGTAACTCCTCGAACACCCGGAAATGGGGGGTTGCTGGGGTGACTCTGAACAACTTTTTCCTTTTCCAAAATGTAGTTTGAAGCTTCGTTTTTGAATTATTAACGAAAAACACTGGCCAATCAGAGCGCGCGTAGAGCCTGCTCTCAGGGACTGGTGAACAGAGAATAGGTCATTTCATGACCTAAGACAAAGAAATTCAAGAGGTCTGGTGTTTTTCTTGGACCCGTTGAACCGTAAATTGGTATTTTTGTTGATAAGAAAGAGAAGCTTTTTTCTTGTAGTAAATTCAGCAGCTCTCTGCTTTTAGTGGTGGCTAGTCGAGAGCCCCATAAGGTAAGCATGCTTACTGTTGCAGTCTCCATCCGCTATAAATTTGGAACCATGCGTGCGAAAGGAGTCTTCAAAGTTTCCTTTCTTTAAATTATCACCGGATGGGTAGTATAGTGTACAACATACGGTACTGATTTTACCATGACTGAGGCAATCGTAGGCAATCTTTAGTATAACCTGACATCCCACAGTGGTCGATCGTGTCCTTTATTAACCCTAGTGCGGTCTTCGGATCTTTCTCGACCCATCACCTTCTTACTTTTTTAACATCTTTTGCTGTTGTCAAATTTATGCTCCCTTAACATTGTATTAAAAATTTATCGTCTAAGTTCATATGGCGCACTGGTAACAAAAATTGTTACGCATTAGGACTTTGGGTCAGAAAAGACCCATGTATAATCGAACAGAAAGAACGCACTAGGGTTAAAAGTGCAGTTTCAGCGTGAACGGTGTTATCTGGATGATCAGTGTGATAAATATGTAACGTGGAAGTTTGAAGTATGATGTTTCGGTAAAATGGGTTTCACTAATTAGCAATATATCTATTAGGTGGTGGTTGTTTAATCTATTCGCGGTGATCTTGCGATCTTTCGAGCTTCGTTGATTTTGCACGTTTGTGCCGACTAATTACAAATTCGAAGGACCACTATTGTGTATCGGAAGACTAACTGATTTGCTCGTGTTTCTACGTTGTTTTTTTGAAAGAGTTCAATGTTACTCGTTGCTAGTCGAATGGATTCTGAAGGTTCGAAGATTCCTCGGTCAGGATACATTTGGCGAGGGTGAGACACGCGGATTGGCTATTACAATTTCGACTTCGACAAGGGAGGTGGTTGACTATACGCGATTGGCAAACTATTAAACAAAGAACGAACTAAAGGGACGCCTCCAAGTCAACGGTCACTCTCAAGTGTCGTCCGCACCCTTGAGTGACGCGCGCGGAAACTCGCGTGTCTCGAAGCAATAAACGCAGCAGGTAATAAGTCTGGGCAGCGCTTCGTCGCTAACAAAAACATACCAAAGTGGAGACCAAAAACCCGAGAAGTTAAAATGTAACAAACAGATGTGGACGAGAGCCACGAGAAGAAAAGCATCGAACTTCTAAATGAACGTTAAAGTGCTCGATGGCCTCCCAAATTTACAACTGCTGCGACGGACCGAATAATTTCCGGACCCGTGCCTGGAAAACGCCGTAAATCTAATAGGACGACTGAACAGTGGTAAAGGAAGATTTTTATTTCTTCCTTGTGCTGGTCCATGCCATTTGCATTCCACGGAGCTACTCTGAGAAACTTAGCCATTATTTTTCCCGATTAACATTGCTAACATGTTCAAGACCGTGCTATTTTGGTGTGTAAGTTCGTTAAACATATTTTTCAACTCTCCCAGAAATTTGTTTCTGAAAACGAGGCTTCAAACGAAAAAATTTGATTCTTTATTTCTGGTTTACTTTTACATACAGAATCATCTCCTGCCCAATTGTCGCACGCGTCCTGTCTCACTCTGTATAATCGTTTACTTCTTTGTAAATCTGGTGGTGATGTGATGGACTAATCAGCGTACTTCTCACCATTGGACAGTCTTCCCTGGTTTCCGAGTATAATGACTAAAGAGCATACCGACTCTGGAAAATCCGAGTCCGTAGAGGGGTGGTACAGCAATTTAACGAGGAGTTATGCTCAAGGACGTGCAGTAGCTTGAACTTGGGATAATTGCTTCTGCACCACATCGTGGATTCACAACACGTCAATCGCTGCTGAGTGCGCAGGAGCAATGCAGAAACGCAGAGTTTCGGCATTGGTAAAATACTTCCTGATCCTGTGTATTTGGCTAGAAGTGCATCGAACGAACCAGCGATCTTGAACAATAGTCACTCAAAAATAGCACAGCTACGCGTCTTATCCAAGCAGGGCGTTGTAGTTATGACGATTGGTCATGGAAGAAGGAAAGAGAAAGGAAGACGTGTTTCGTCCTGGGCCTCCTAGTGGACTCACCGGGAAGGCTATCTAGGAAACCTATGCCTTAGATGCGGGGAACGGTTAGACTTAGGCCCAACTCAGACGGACGACAAAATGGTGGTTGGGCTGTCGCTGGTATCAACCACTCGCGAACACTTTTTAGTGGCCAAATTGCGCGGAAAATTGCACGATTTTTGACGGTGGTGGAAGATTTTTTATTTAAATTAACAATTTTTATTAATGTAATAGCATTGTTTTATAAGGACTAAAACGCCATTACATTTTTTCATGGAAATTCACGATAAATGGTATTACCACAATTCTTAAATATAATCTGTTAATCGCAACAAATACTAGATAGTTGAAAAAATTTACATTTTATTAGAAAGTGTGTCAATTTTGAATAATAGATAAAGTTCTTACCAAAAACGTAAAAGGCCCAGGATGCACGAACTTCTTTAGGGCAATTTAGCGAGAAGATCGAGCATAAATCCAGAATGTCCTCTAGGCTTAAATGATCGTCCTTTTGCGAAGAAAACACTCGGTATATGGCGTCATGAAATGGGCTACACTAAAATAGTTTAGCATTTTAATGTTTGAAATTAAAGAAAATTCAACGTTATAATCTACGTGTACTATATTAGGTTGGTCCCATAAGTTCGTGTGGTTTTCACTTTATATTGAATGAAACTCATAATATTTGCCTATCGGCTATGTGATACAACGATTCGACAGCTTTTCGTGAATTCTTTCGTTCTGTGCAAATAAGCCACGGAGTGTCAGATAAGAAAACAATTAGCATATTCGATATATTTACCTTCTAAGTTTAATCGTGATGATAAAGTTACCCGAAGCTGCCGATATCATTTGTACCGTCTATGGACAAAGTTACGTTATTAACAGAACACCACAAAAGTAGGAAATTTTGCCATAAGCGACTATTTTAGTTCGACGAGGAGCGTTTGGAAACTCTGCTTTGTAATGACAATCAACTGGTGAATTAGTCGAGAAGATGCACTGCTCTCGTCAAACACTGTTCTGCCATTTAAAGACAATGGGAAGAATGCAAAAACTTGGTTCACGGATTTCACATCATCCGTGTGAAGGGAACAAAACCCAAGGAAAACCGCACGAACTCATGGATTAACCTAATCATTTTCATTACGTACGTATACAGGGTGTTCGCGCTATTACTAGCGAGCGTTTTTGGAAGCGACGTGGTGTAAAGTAATTACTCGGGCAAGTTGTTTAATAAAAATATATTTATTTAATTCGATAACGCTTAACCTAATTTTGCAGTGTAGGCGACGCGAGCCTACGACAAAAGGCCTCGTGCCTTTTTCGGGGCTCCCTTAAGTAGCCCCTTTTCCCTGGGAAAGTCCCGGGGCGCGGGCCTGCATTGCCGAGGCAATACTCTCGTCCTCGAGGACGAAGAAACTCGGAGATTTTTGGAAAAACATCTCTCGATTCTTCGCCTCGAGGGCCAAGAGTCGCCAGGCCTAAGTGCGTGGCCCCCCGTGGCGGTCGCCGCACGTTATTCTCGTAAAAAGTAAATACTAGGAAAAAATGAGAAAAGCAAAAGTTTTGCAGTTTTCTATGAACAATATAATAGCGTACTTCAATTTTTTATATTTGCCATATTTTTCGAGAAGCGATGGTGACTTTTAACTTTTTAAATGAAATGCTGCATATTTTGTTACGTTCAAGAGGAATTCATCCATCTGCTATACGACCGGCAGGGTGACACGAAGTCAGATATGAAAGAAATATTTCTCACGTACCAATGTGTTTAAAAGTTGATTGATATGACTGAACTCGTTAAATGTGACTGACTTTTTGTTATCATTCACTGTCAGAGCGTTTACTTTTGCTTTTACTGTTACAAGACAAATACAGAATTACTTCATAGACGTTCACGATACACCGCCCAGAGATGTAAACGACTTAAAAAGCAAAATAACGCAAGCATGTGGAATAATATCTCGGACAACATTAGTAGAAGCTATCGAAAATGTAATTCATAGAGCTGAAATGTGTATTCATGCGCAAGGAAGTTATACCGAACATCTGTAACCATGTCGAGAAAGAACACTTGTAAACACATTGGTGCGTAATTTTCGAAATATTTCTTTCATTTCTGACTCTGTGTGACCCTGACGGTCACTGTATGGATGAATTCATCTTCATACACGTTTTCATATGACAAAAAAATATGCGACATTCCGTTTAACAAATCAAGTCACCTTCGTTTCTAGAAGAATATTGCAAATATGAAAAATTGATATACGCTATTACGTTGGTCATAGAAAACTGCAAAACTTTTTCATTGTTTCCGTTAGCAGTAGCTTGAACACTCTGTATACAAAATTCTTCAGAGAAGAAGATACCAGTTTTGCCTATAACGATGAAAAGTGTCACATCGACATACACTGTATAATATAATTCATCGACGAAATATGTATATTTTAACATTTCCACGTAGAAAACTCTACCATCGTTACTTATTCAATATGAAATCAATATAATTCATTAAATATGACTTCAGTGTAATTTATTCAATATGACTTCAATTAACATAATCCTCGAAATAAATCCAAATGAAGAAACGTTTTACATTTGTTTCAGGAGAAACGAGATGATTGTGTTAGAGGATTATTTCGTTTAATTCACGTTCTTTGATAGCGCCAATTTAAAGGGACATGCAATTGTGTTGTAAGTAAATTTATTTGCTAGGTTTAGAACACTAAGAAAGACGCTTCTAAAAGTTCACAATGATGTGGGATCCAGAATTACTTGAAATATTTTTTATTAAATATACAGGGTGTTTGGTAACTGGTGGTACAAGCGAAAAGGGGGTGATTCTACATGAAAGAATAAGTCGAAAATATGGAATAAATTTTTTTTCATTCGAGGCTTCGTTTTAGAGAAAATCGACTTTAAATTTTCTTCGAGTACGCATGTCGTGGATGAACGGATCTCGATATAGACCATATGTCGTAGGTTTATGAGTAATAATAAAGCATGTAATTATCAAGATTTACTTTATTAATGCAAAAATTGTTGAAAATGCTAGCCACCGTACACCGAACGTCGAGATCCATTCATCCACGGCATAGTAGGGTGCATGCGTACTCGACGAAAATTTAAAGTCGATTTTCTCGAAAACAAAGCCTCAAACGAAAAATGTTTATTCTATATTTTCGACTTATTCTTTCATGTAGAATCACCCCCTTTTCGCTTGTACCACCAGTTACCAAACACCCTGTATACTTGTTACTTACTCGAATTTGTGGTAGTATTATTTCGACTTGTTCTACGGTGAAACGATGGTGGAGATTCTCACGAAGTTTTCCCGGATCCAAGTCGTCCAGAAGCTTGACAATGCTGAAACACAGATTTACAATTTGACAAAAATACAACTTTAACGAAAAGTCCTTTTTTAGGACTATTTTGTCATTAAGCGTACAATTGTATTTAGACGTATAACAGCTCTTTCGCGTAAATTATATCCACCGTAGTATAATTCTAATAACTAAATAATCAAAGTTCCATTTGCAACTCATTATTTCAACGTAATTGTAACAAATGGAATTTAGCATCTATGCAATAGCGTCAAGTGCAGAATAAAACTTTTGCATATGTGTTATTAAGGATTTAACTTTGTTCTCTACGGGCAAAAACGTAATTAAAACTTTTAGTACAAATTACTTGAACTAAATGCCGCAATTGTTTCGATTTATAATAAATATTACCAATGGAAAAGGGTACATTTGAGTAATGTTTAAATAAAAAAATGAAATGTGATGTGAAAGAAAGAGAAATGTTTTTAACAATATTTTTCAATGCACAGGATGTAAATGGAGTCACCTAAATATCTCTGGTATTTTTGGATAAGCACAATCGTTGTAAAATGCAAAACCGAGCATAGAAAACTTTTCAACATGATAAGGTAATTTTTTCGAGATTTTAAGGTCATTGGCGTTTTTTAAAGCTACGGTATATTTTTTCCCACATTCTTACGGAGCATGAAAAGACGGATTCAAGGATCTTAAAATATGTATCATTCCCATGGCACAATCTCGAAATGTTATCATCTGAAGGTAATAAATATTTCTTGTAGATACTGGATGCATATCAATTTCTCAAATGTAAACATCACCTTATGTTATTTATTTTGATTAGTATTATTGAGTGTAGACTGGGAAAAACTGTATTGTAACATCGAATGATTTTTAAACTTCAATTATGCATCGAAGTCAATGACCATTTGACTATTTCTTATAAGTTAGGTTAGGTGATTTTTGATAGATTAGATTAAATGATCAGAATGGAGTGATTATTGAAATTGCTTTTGTCTTTTTCTTCTCTGTAAGGATATAAAAAAAAAATATACTACAGCTTTTGAAGCATTTCATTTTTGAGCACAACTTTGAGCATTTCTTATAGGTTAGGTTAGGTTAGGTTATTGAAATCGTTAAATTTGTCTTTTCTTTCTCTGTAAGGATATAAAACAATTTACCATACTGTGAAAAACAAAATCGACGACCTTGAAATTTCGAACAGAATGACCTTGGAGAAACTTTCCTTCTTATCATTTTGTTCACCAATTTTGTTCAAAGAACTTAACTTTGCTCCAGACAGTTCTTTCATTACTTACAAATAGCGCAGATATTTTAGTGATCCCATTCACGTGGACCACCCTGTAGAATAACATTCAGAGAGAGTGCTTTTAAATCACATTTACAAAACTTTTAGTTTACAAAGCAATAAAAAATTCTGGTATCCTCGTTAAGTGTCACATTATTTAAAGCACAATTTTATTACAATAACATTTACACTTTGAATTAAAACAAAAAAATCTGCAATTCTGTTAACTTTTTTCACTCACTGTTGTATTTCTCCTTTTCCCAAATACGTTAGGTCCATATAAGTATGAAGTAGTTCGTCGTTGAGAATATGATCATTTGACCAGAAATTTCCCATAACGATGCACAAGTACCGTTGAATTTCAGCAAAGTAAACGTTGTCAATGATGTATGCTGCTTGGTTATCAGTGCACTGATAATGCGTTATCTGTTTCAAAGGGATTCTCCAGAAATATTACGAGCTGCACTTACTATTAAACGTCAAATACCGATGAATATATGAAAGACAATATGTGCAATATCAACATGGCGTTGAATTTATTAATAATTAAAAGACACGATTTATATGTGAAGATTAATTCATTTTTCACAGCACTGACATGACTTTATACCATTTAAATTATATTTCTTAATGTCGCAGAAGTTATAATTAGATTTGTAATGATTTTTATACACTTACATATAATTGTAATTTAATTAATAATGTGTATAATTCAAAAATTGTCAACGATGTAAAAATTAGGAATCTAGATGGTTTTACATTTCACTAGCTGATTTTATACCCGAAATCGATTAATAGAAATTTTTTTTTTGAAAGCACGACTACATTGCTTAGTTTCAAATCTTTTTAAATCGTTTTCATTACCTTTGCTTAAATAGTTTCGTTCAATATGAAGTGTAACATAAAAATTTAGTACTTTTCATTAATACCAATATCTAACAATTAAGAATTGTTTTTAAGTTTCTTTATTTTCCTTTGTGTGCGACATTTTTCGTACTTTTTGTTCTTGCTCTTAAAATACTTTCTTTATCATATTCGATTTCTATGTCTTTATCAACCAGATAACATGAAATGTACGTAAAATCAATTTAATTAAGTTCTTGTTTTCTTTTATTGATTTCATATTTTCATCAGTCCCTGAGATTAAACACTTGAGAAAAATGTATACCAATCTGAAAACTTAGGAGATAATAAACACGATAGGTAGCTTCTACTGTAAAAGTATAAATGTTGTCATTTGATAACTTCAATAAAAAATTGGCATTTGTAAAGTTTCCTAATTTTTCAAAAATAGGTTTCTCAGTCAAAAAATCTGAAAAAATTCGCAGATATGTAACACTCTGGCTACAATATATCCAAATTTTTTCATAATTTTTTATAGGATAGAACAACAGAAATCAAGTATAAACTATAAATTACGTTCAGGTTGATAACTACCCTAATAATAAGGGCAGAGAGCTAAAACTTTGTCGAAGTGGTTTTCCTAGGCAGCTCTTTCAATTGACGTGCCGCAAATTTAACTTGATTTAGGGGCACTTTTATCACGATTATTCGGCTGTACCCTTTACATTGAATTCCGAAATTGGAATGTTTTCAAATCAAACGGTCGTACTTAACACGAAAATTCGCGGAGCCGAGGAAATGAAAATTGGTAACAATTTTTCTGCGACGGTAATTGGATTCAAGTTGTCCAGTTTATATTTCTTCGGTTAATTAATGCTCAGTTTGTTTAACCACTGTTGCAAACACTTCTATATCCCGGTGGTTCGTTAGGTTGTCCTAAAAGAAATGCATATTCATGAAATACATAAATAAGGGTAAGAGATTTATATTCAACGGGTGTGCATGCTGCGTACACACGGCTTCAAGGATTCGCTTAGAATTAAGCAGCGTATAGTGCTGCACGTAAATGATTAAACCGATTACACCTGGAATGCAGGGAATTTCTGTAGATGGGGAAGAGGTTTAATTAGACAGTCAATGAGTGAGCTTACTGATTGGAAAACGGTCGTATCGCGCGATTTGTACGTTCGTCGGGAATGATGTACTTCAGTTCGAGGATTGGCTTGCTATCGATTCGACTAAGCTTATAAGGTACATTCAAATTGCTATTAATTCGTTTTCTAATTATCGATTTAATGGCATTCGTCTTTATATCGGTGCATCTTTAATTTCGTTACGTGTAAATTAATCTCAAGTTTGTAATTGTAGGATTTGTCAAGTAAGAACGTGAATTTTTTTCGAAAAATTACGTTCAAATTAGAAAGTGAACAGAGGAAATTGAAGTTTCTTTCAATGCAATTTAATGGAAAGATGTGCGAAGAATTGTCGGATTTCATACACACGTGTAAATAAAATTCCACGATTTAACCCTTTTGCAGGAAATCTGGGTCTTTCGTGACACAAGTATTTCTTCGAAACGAATTTTTATTTTTATTGAAAAAAGTTTTAAGCATTTCACTTAACGAACAATTGTACAATGCAGCAGAGTCTTCGATAAGTACTCCAGAATTTTTTCAGATTTTTTGAAAGTTAAGAACAGTAAAAAATTAAACTTAGATACAAACTACCCAATTTGCCTACGCGACTGAAAATATATGTGCCTTACCTACGGAGGGTTAACATTTATTATGAAATTAGTATCGCTGTTTACATTGATTCAAATATTCGAGTCACTTACGAAATTCTTAAGCGCTTGTTAGATTTTCAAACCATTGCAACGTAACGAAAATTAGTAAATTGAAACTTATGTAAGTTGTAAGACTGCAATACCAACAGTGGTGATACTATTAATTCGGTTTTAAGAAAATTGTTTAATCGTTTACAAATATGATTTATACAGGGTGCCCCCAGTTTTTTGCGATCAAGCTTTGTCAGTATCTTCTATAGGCAAGAAAAAAATGTTATTTAAGCTTCGTTAAACAGTTATAACAAAAATACGAAGGCAATAGTAATAGTTATGAAACTATAAGGTTACAAGTAGGTTACACTAATTTGATGTTAGCTTTCCTCCACGTCATTAATCCGTTCAAATTAGACATAACTAAAAATAATTCTGTGATATTGTAACATTAACGAACGTGATTAGTCAAATATTGAAGTTCAAAACTTTCATTTGTGTATATTTGTAAATTGTGAAAACACCGTGTTCATTATGCTTTTGTTTTACGTATCGATAGTTTTATTTTTCAATCGATATTTTTTTGTGACGAATAGAGTGCAGAGATTTTTTCTCATTTTAAGTTTAAACAAGTTGTCCACTTTTTTTTTTACAAAAATTACGGTTCGAACAATTATTTTTACAGCACACGTGCATTGACAGGAAAATGAAATTGAAGCGTCGACAGTGCAAATTCAGACTGCCGGAGGAGTTGGATTCCCTTTCCGAAATCCCTTTGTAATCAAACTATGTATACGCAAGAAAGATACACTGTGAGTCAGTCGTTAAACCACAATTCATCCAAAACCTAAGTACATCCACCAAGAAACGCTTACACCAAATAAATTGTAGAAACGATTCTTGGGCAGCTTATGTATGCTATTACATGCACTTTAATACTTGAGGAATAAGCTTCAGACGCGATTTCAATAGGGTTGCAGTAGGTACATCAGATTTACGATTTTCGAATCATTTTAACTATTACTTTTGTCAATCCTGAATATCTTGGATTCTTCTCATCTACTATTTTACTTTCACTTCTATTTATTTGGTCAGTATTTTTTTATCTGTCTACCACATAAAAATTCGTTTATGCAGTCATATTTGGCTAAAAACCCGCTTTTTCGCGATTTTCAACACGTTACAATTTGTTGATAATTTTGAAGCCAGCAAAATGATAACATAAACTCCTCATTATTTCATATAGACTATAACATATTGCAGTTTCATCGAAATCGGAAGACATGTTGCCAAAAGTGACCGATTTGGCGTGGAATGACTCATACCCAGATAGCACACGACGTCTTGAGATGTTCATTTTACGCCCATTTTTGGTCTGAGCGTCTTGCGACCTGATCTGGACGCCTTGAAGACATTCGAATCGGTATGTTCTAACAACGTATAAAAATTACGTCTTTAAGACGGTTTTAAGACGTTTCGAAAGGCAGCGAATAGTGCTTCGCAGCGGCACGTTTCAAAGACATCTTGATTTGTAACACTGGACGTTGTTCAGACGTCTTTTGGACATCTTTAGGCTTCTACTGTGTGCTATCTGGGATAATGACTTGAGGAATTACCCTTCGAATTTAGTACCAAAGGTAGCCGAGCAACATTCTGCACACATTCAAGTATAATTACACATCGGTTATGTATATTTAAAAGATACTTCTTATCTATATTTATAACTTCTTATCTACATATATTTAAAAGATATTTTAGATTTGGTTCTCTATCAGGAATGATTTTTTTTAGAAGGAAATAACGAAGTTGCAAATCTAACTGTTAGGTTTTCTAGAAACGGTTTATGGCACGATCGACCGGGAACGCTTATTTTTGAGTTGAGGATTTTCGTTTATTGCTTGCACGGGTTTAATTACACCCTGCGAGGGTCACTAGAATTGCTTTGCTAGATTTTTAGTAATTTGTGTCCCTCGCGCTCAATAGCCTACGAACATACTATAAACCACGAATTTCCGAACAGCACATCTGTATGTAATGATCCGCTTGCCGATCAGTTACCCGGAGGAAATTCCAGATTTTTGGGACTTTCCGTCCACCCCTCGCGACCGTCTCCCGCCCTTCCAAGGTGATAGCGCGTTAAGGGCGCACTGACGCGCTCAATAGCCTACGAACATACTATAAACCACGAATTTCCGAACAGCACATCTGTATGTAACGATCCGCTTGCCGATCAGTTACCCGGAGGAAATTTCAGATTTTTGGGACTTTCCGTCCACCCCTCGCAACCGTCTCCCGCCCTTCCAAGGTGATAGCGCGTTAAGGGCGCACTGGAAGGGCGGTAAAGACGATATTAGACGTGACGTCGGACAGTAAGTAGTCGAGTAGTCGTTCAACCACCACGAACAAGGAGAACCAAGGAGCAACCAGTTCACATCACGCAATACCATAGATCAGTTTACAAGTCCCAATCATTTGGGTGGTCCTTCGAATCAGTATCTAGACGGCACAACATCGTGCAACATCCACAAAGCTCGAAAGTTCATCGCCATAACCACGGGCATTAACATTAACAATATACAGTAAATTCTCCGCAAGTGTCAGTCCACAAGGAATCTAAACCTGACACTTGTAGAGTCAGGGACTACGTTTTCGAGCCTCGCGCCCGCCTTTGTAGTTTGCCGAACGTAGGCAAGGACAGCTAATAAAAGATAAGGTGAAACGTGAGTCGAGGCAAC